ATATATAAATTATGTATTTTTTAAAAAAACATTCAGGTTAGAAATAATATACAGCTATAAAAAATTAATTCTACAAAAAAATAATATAAATTTCTAGGATACTTTCAGGCTTTTTTCAAGTCTAATTCAATTCAATACTTTTGACGAGATATTTGTACTGAAGGAAATTAAGATAGTTATTTTTTTCAACTTGACGAAATGCTCGCTCAGAGCGGTTCATAAGAAATTCTCCGAAAATGTAGAAAATTTATGAGTTTCGAGTATCCATTTTTCACGCGGTACTTGTAAGAGATACTGCCTTTACTTTGACATGTGTTATGTATCCACAACAATAACATCTATGTTGCGAATTCGAGAAGAAAAGAAAAGAAAGAAAAGCTTAGATAATGAAAAACGTCAAAACAAATTCTACTCACTTAAACCACTAAAAAAAATTTTTTTTTCATTGATTCCAGTCTAAAATTAAGTTTCGTTCCATTCTCTAGACCCCTCTAAAGGGAAATCAACTGCCTATTGTACGTTTATACACAAAGTCGAAGAGGGCGGAGCTGTCTCGGGACATTATTTTTCCCCATTTTCCGGATGAATTCCCTGCTTTTCCAGGAATAAAAAAAAGTAAAGAAACGACTGAGCCCTCTACTGTATCTGGAAAGAGTAAAGGGGCGCGAAAATTGGAAAGCCCTAAGGCTGCGTTATTGCCTGTCGAATCCAATGTGACAAGGGCTTCTTCCTTAGTTTTGGGTTTGCGGTCATAGTCTGGGGAATTTTATTTTCTGTATCAGATTCGATTCTGCATGATTATAGATTTGAAATTCGAATAAAAAAAATATTGTTTCAATTATTGTTATGCCAGTAATTGCTTTAAGACGGTTTTTCGAAGGTGATGCCATTTCTATGCTATTGTGCTTTGCGAATAATATGATATTTTCATAACAACTGTGTTTTTCTAACAGCTATTATGACTGTTAAGCCAAATTTAGTCTATCTTTACCCAGCACTTTCATTGCTAGTTCTGAAAATGGTTGAATGAAATCATAGTTTTTTTGAAAATGAAAAACGTTTGGTATCTAGATATTTAGTATTTAAAAAATTACTCGAGTGCTGTATTATCTGGACTTATAAAATTTATCTGCTGTATTATCTGGACTTATATTCATTGAAATTATATTCACATTCAAGTTATCTGGACTCATATTCATAGAATAATTTTCAGCTAGGTGGAATAATCTCTCCAAATTGGTGGTTTTTAAAAAGTTTAATAACTTTTAAAATATTTAAGTTACGTATTCGTTCTAAAGCCCAGATAATTCTGTATGACAAGATGTTATATATAGCTTAAAATTATAAATTTTCTCAAGTATACAGCACCTAAACTGTTAATTTTTTGTTTTATTTGCTGAAAGTTAATCTAAAAACGATGGTAAATGAATAATCTTAGATGGCAGCCAAGTTCGTGATTTGTTTAATAAATTGTACTCCAAATTATATTAAAGTTATAGTATAAGCAGCAATAACTTTGTGTATTTATGTATTTATTTTTTATTTTTCCAAAAACTGAACACGGATAACTTTATTCTAGGCAAATCTTGGTTTCGGCCGATCAGAATCGTATATTAAACTCGAACAGCTTGGAGAAGGTTCATATGCTACTGTCTTCAAAGGGTTTAGTGAGTAAGTATACTTTTATATCGTCTTAAACTAAGCAAACGTCTATGAAATGGAAATAAAAAAGACCAGTTATGTATAGATATAAATAAAAAAAAATACATAGAATATATTCATGTCATTTGATAGCCATAATTATTGACTTTATCTGCAGTAAATTCACACAAATTAGATTAATTCCTTGCACACAGTCTCGATATTAAGTTTAATATTTTGAAAAAGCTAAAATTGGTGATATATCCTCTAGATGATGAATCTATGTTTATTTTAATTATTTTTGAACTTATCTGTTTACTGTTTTGTTCAATAAAGTTTATTTGTTTATTAAAAAGGATGAGTGAATAAAAAATTGTATTAGCCTTTCAATATTAAGACCTAAGGTTCAACCACAACTTAAAGTAGATATTACTTGATTTTTGTTTTTGTAAAATTATGAAACTCGACTGATCTGTATCAATATCAGATGTATAATGTATTTAAATTATCATATAAATAAATTTAGAATTAAAATGTACAAAAACGAAAATGCTCTTGAAACGTTTCATGGATTCAACAAAATAAATCAAACTTTTAACAGAATCACTGATACTGAATTCAATGATTGATTAAGATTAAAATGTCTGATATGTGTTCGCTTCGTCCACTTAAGAAAAATTTATTACTCTTGGAACCATAAATGATTATCCTTGGAACCATCTCATGTTTTTTTCTTGAATCTTTTCATGATTATCCCATGAATCCTTCTCATGATTATTCTCTGAGTTATCTCATAACTATTCCCTGAATCATCACATCGCTATTTCCTAACTCTTATTATGATTGTCCCTTGAGCCATCCTATTCAGCTAATTATCTGATTCTAATGATAATCTGATTGTTCCCTAAACCAAGCTAGGCCGGTAGTGATGTAACAAGAAAATAGTCTTTTTACACTATTAGAAAATTTAAAGTTCTTATTTATGGTTCAGTTAAGTAATTTATTCTTGTTTCAATTATTTGGCTGCAAATATCACCTCTTTTTGAAAAAAAATTAGAGCGATACACATTTTCATAGAAAGAAAAATTCTGAAGTGGCTGAATTAAATTGCGTCATTATTTACACTTTAATTTAAATTGAAATCAGGTGTAATTTTGTGTATTTTCCAATTTATTGATGCTCACTTGCAACAATGCGTGTTTTTTACAATTTTAAAGGAAAAAGAAGCGATAAATGTCAGTCAATTTCTAGAGGGGGGTGGTGGGCAACAAACAATCGGGAACCACTGGTCTAGATATTTATATAATGGTATCTATTTATTTTAAAATAAGCTTTTATATCAACAAAAATTTTCATTTTAAATTTGAAAGCAATAAAAAGACAGCTTTATTTAGAGAAATGCATCGTTTTCTAAATAAATATATTTATCTATAAACTCTTTATTTTCCAATTCAATCATCAACAGTCATAAAGTTTAATGCTACATTACGGTTTTTTTCCGATTCCATTATCTTCGTCTTTATCATTTTATTACTGAAGATGGCACCATAAAATAACTCTTTGGATACGGATGGAGCATCATTCTGTTTAGTTATAAAACCGAGCGAGTTTTTTATGAAGATGGTTCGTCTTCTATTAAACTTACACATTCAGCTCACTAAATTCCATATTTTATTGAAAGTGAAATGCTATGAACATTTTGTTTTCCTCCGGCTTTTCTGTAGTACTAATTTTAAGAAAAAGTTATGGGAATTTATTTTGTTGTTTCAACAAGTTTCTCTTTGTTAAGAGGTTACATAAAAATATTTATGTTTTTTGAAATATTTATATCAAACTACTTTTAAGCTTTCATTACTTTTAAAAACACTTGTTCGAAAGTATTTGGGAACAAATTTATAATTAAGAATCGTAAAACTTTTCCAATTTAAACAGTCACTACCATTTTTAAAATTCGCTCTAAGATAATTTATAAGCACAATATATGTTTTTAAATTTTAAATAAAATATGGTGTCTAATTATGCTTTAAGAACTTTTTTTCCCTAGTAAACATACGAGAAATAATCTATTCTTATATCACTTCCTTAATGGCTTATGAACGTTGAAAAGTATTGAAAAAGATTCTAGGGAACTTAGTTTCGAACTCAAAGGAGAAGTAAAAATGTTCAAATTATTCAAAATTCGTAATAGCAAAAATTAAAAATCGAAAATAGAAGATATGTACTTTATCACTGCATTATATTTAGTTAAGATGCGTTAAATAAGAAAGAAATTTTTCTTAAAATTACTCAATTTTTATGCTGATCTAGTAGTGGGACATTATTATAATAAATTAGAAAATTCATCTGCATAGCTAACGAACTCTAAACTTCAAGTTTAGTTTACGAATTCAGTTACCGTTCAGATTCGAATTTAATTTTTTAAACATTTCAGTCGATTTTAAGACTAATTCTGACTACATAGCTTCTACGACTGCATATATAGTTAATAAACTTCAATAAACTTAATTTACGAATTCAGTTACCATAGGGAATATAATTTAATTTTTTAAACACATATTTAGTCAATTTTAACACTAATTATGACTACATAGCTTCTACTACTGCATAGCTAAAGAACTCTAAATTTCAAGTTTAATTTACGAATTCAGCTAACGTTGAGATTCTAATTTAATTTTTTAAGCATTTTAGACGCCTTTAGGACTAATTATGACTACATAGCTTCTACGACTGCATAGCTAAAGAACTCAAAATTTCAAGTTTAATTTACGAATTCAATTACCGTTGAGATTCTAATGTAATTTTTTTAACATATATAAAGACGATTTTTACTCTAAATATTTCATTACAGTGAAACAATTTCAATAACAAAATAATGCAGATGTATAAAAAAAATCGAATGTACCATTCAACCATATTATTTGAAAGATATTCCGCAATTTCCCTTGCAGAACTGTTGTTGCTCAACTAAAGAAGGGAGTATTCGTTTGAGTGATAGCATCGGAATAAAAATAAATCCTCCCATTTTCTCGGTGGAAGCAGGAAATTGGGGAAACTTTCCACAGATGGCAGAGCTGAAAATGGTAGAAATCATTGAATTGTTGAAGGATACCATTCATACTTTATTGCTGAAGTGACCGTCGAAGTAAAAAAAATCTTCTCTAGCAAAAACGCTGCATGCATAATCTATGAATGGTGGGGAAAATCCAGACTTACCGTTTGAGTGGTCAATGCTTGAACTTTGATATTGAGTACATAAGCCATCGAGGGACCGAATAAAAATCTTGTTCATATGAGAATGCACCGTTAACAGGTGTTTTACATCATCAAATTTTGCAATCTCTTTTTTCGAATTTTTTAAGCTGGCCAAATTTCAAGTTTGCAACGACATTTTTTGGGGAATAATAATTTTTGGGGAATAATAATTTTTAGAGAATATTTTCAGTCCTGTAACAAAACAGAATTTATATAGTAGAATTTTATAACAGTGTTTAGTAGAAAAAAATTTCAGTTGTTAGTAAAGTACTGGTTTAGGTTTGCTAGGCATAGTTCTGTTACGGAAAAATGAAATTAAGTTATTATAGACTGACATATCTACAATGGAGACACTGTGGGTTTTCATAGTGATAGTTTGCCAAAATTAGTTCAATATGCAAGCAACTTTTAATAAAGAATGTGTTTTTGTTTTGTTTGTTTTTTACTTACAGATTAATGTTTTATTTTTGCACATAGGTGAATTTGTATTTTGGAAGATAGTCTTCCTTTTACTGCATAGTTTGGCAGGATCCCCTCATTTTCATCAGGCCTAAAATTCTATCTCAATTTCACTTGCCTTTGCAAACTCTGACTGCAGTGTATCTCGAAGTCGGAAAAGCTCACTGTTTGAAGTTGAAAGCCAGGTGCTAGACACCTGAGGGAAATTTAATAAAATAAAACGGTGACGACCGAAAAGGCTTTAACAGAAAAAAATTCAAGATGTATCTCAACTATCTCATAAAATCATTCAACGTTTCCGCAAAATTGCTCTAACCTTATTCGAAAAAATAAAATCATTTCCAGTTTAAGTTGATTAAGTTTCGTGAAATCAAGTTTAGATAGAGGTAAAGCATTAAGGTTGCATCATATTTGAGAGTTATAATTTAACAAGCGTAGAAATTGATCATAGATTTTTTCTTGCGATTAATTTTCGATATAAATTTAAAATAAGTACGATATAAATATAAAAATGCTGTATTAATGTCATATCGAACAATTACCTTAATACAAGTAATAATGGGTTCTACTTGAAACTAAAATGATCCTATAACAGAGAAATGCTAAGTAAAAACTTTACAGCTAATAATAATCAGAATAATACGCATAACAGTTTGTACAATTTTCTTTTATTGTGAATTAAAATCAGTTTTGAAAAGTCATTACTTTATCAGCTTTTGTTTACCTGAGTTATTGATTTAAAGTGGCTCTAAAGGGTGTTCGAAAATTCCCAAATTTCCGAAAATTTCTAAAGGCTGTCCGAAAGATTTGAATTTTACTCCACTTGTGCAATAAAATATTGCAAAAGAAAAAAACTAAGACATCAGAACACCTGATAGTCCAGAGTTACAAAAAATAATGCACCGTGTGAATGAAACTCACGTTATGGTTGTTAAGCAATATTTCGAGCGCTGTTGAGTCCTACCCTGAAAGTATAGTTTCCCGTTTTGGTGATCAGAATTGACAGCCCAGATCATGCTACTGAACACCGTAAGACCATTTTTTGAAGCTAAGAAATATGCTACAAAGCCCATAACCTTCCACGCTATGTGATAGAAAATTGAGCACTGTTTTAAAGAAATTCAGACACGTATTTATGCTAAATTGTTATTGCAATTTTTGACAAGAGAATGAGTCGGTATTAACAAAACTGCCCAGGCTATTTACCCGACATTTTTTCATACCGACACTATAAAGTTATTTATCATTCTTAAAATGTATTTTGCACCCGCAGTGGCACAGTGCTTAAGACACTGAGATATCACTGTGAAAATATCTAAACGAGGTTTTGCGATTTAAAAAGACTGCATTAAAACGATTCCAATCATTAAAAAATTCTGATAATGGTATTGAAAATATTCTGAAAAAACTGTGCTGGGTTTTGAAACAATGTTAGACGGAACAATCCACAAATGTTACACCTATGTCCCCTTGGGTTATTTTCCCTGAACTTTGACAACACAGCGATTCCAATTTCTATTTGAAAGTTGGAAAATTAATTCCTTTTCACTTGATAATACTCTTTGATTGGAAGAAAATAGTCGGTAACAAAAATATTATACTATGTGTAATCAAACCATAATCACAGTCCTTAATATATATTTCTAGACTCCTTGTCAATATTCAGGTCAAAAAAGTATCTGCTTAAGTGATCGCAAGTTACTATTTAAAAGAGAAAGAAGCATAAAAACTAATGAAATCTATTTAATAACTATTGAGGATGGTGGAACGAACTGAAAACATTATAACCCTTATTGAAATAGAGAAGTGTTAAAAAACGATCATTCGAAACATTTCTATGCAATTTCTTACTACTAATTCAAGAGGTTTCAATATTTTTTTTCGTTGCATCTTCCTTGCTTTAATATGGATCTGAGATCTCTAATTTGCAGACTTTTTTTACTTAATTTCTGACAATAATTGTAAAAATACATATTTAAGACAGTGATAATGCAACACCCTCTGTATACCCATAAAAAATTCGTTAAATTGATTTTTTTTTGTCTGAATTAAATTATGTGAATACATAAAACTTAAATCTTGAACAGTATTGATAAGAATTAATAATTTAAACCCATTTCAGTTTTATCGGTCTGTTCTTTTTAATGAAGTGATTCTCAAAGAAAGAAAATGAGAACTACTCCACCATTCATAAGCATTGATTTTTCGTTTTTAACTTAAAAAGTATATGTATTCCCCAGATTTTTTTTTCTGGAAGTTCTAGTTTTCTTCTTCCTGCCACGACGCAGCTGTGATTTTGGAATATAAAATGAGTTATCCGGTCAATTTTGTCAGATGGAACTGTTCTGAGTTTAATGCAAATACTTCTGCCATTTTTCACGAAGCTGGTCAGGAAAAGAACTTTTTAGCGTTTAAAGATTTTTTTTCTAAAACTAAACTCTTTTTTTATATATAAACTTCTGCTTTTTTGAGTAGTTGATCTTTAAATGTTTAAGCCTTTTTTGCCTTCTTTTCTGAAACTTTATTTTTAATTTTTTCTTCAAAATATATCACTTTCGTGATACCCCGAATGGTTAAAAATTATGCAAATTCGAGAAAATTTTCCCTGTTGCAGAAAACTAAATTTCGCAAAAATCAAAAATTGCATTATAGATAATAGCTGTTATGTTTCCCAGATGTGTTGAATAATCCCAGATGTGTTAATATATATATATATATATATATACTACCAGTNTATATATATATATATAGGGTTTTATCTAGATTCTTTACAATTCTCATAAAAACAGAAAGAAAAGCCATTTTTGCACCACTTCTGCTTTCAGTGCCAATGAAATCCGAACAGATCTCTACAATGCTTCCTCAAAAGTGGACACGGGAAACATTTTTGCTTCCGAATTGTGGACGATCACCGAATTTTACGGCACCTCACATATAAAGTCCATGACAGTTTCACAGTTCAGAATGCTGTTAAGTCTTCCCCTCCCCATAAGGTAATAAATGCCGAAAACGTGAGACAAACGCTTCCCTTTCACTAAACGAGTATTGACGTCCTTAAAGGAAGATCCGGAGGAAGCCGGTCCATTCACGTGCGACGGCTGTTCTTAACGACTTAGATCCATCCATTCTAATGAATGCATAGAACAGAACCTAACAGTTTCCACCTACTGTCGAGAGAATCATGTTTCGACAGTTGAAAGGAGAGCAGTCGGCCAAATATTTCAGGGAAGATTTGTCATGTGTGATGTGAAATGTTACGTCTGGTGCTCCTTTTTGGTTTGTCACCTTAAGTGGAAGTGATTTGTGGACAAGTGTCGTCAATTGACGGCTATTCTTCTTGATGGGAAAATACATCCCTAAGGGATTTATATATACATATATATATGAATACAGAGTTACGATTTTTTCAATGGAACTAGAAATATCGAATTAGAAAAAAAGATAAATATTCTATACAAAATAAGATATTTTTGATAATTTTGTTTTATAATAAATATTAACGAAACCAATTATTTTAAACTCATTTTGCTCTTATCTGTTTTAATCTATTCAAGACCACCAACTTTCTTATACTTATAAACTAAATTACAAACATGCAAAAAACTGACACATTTTAGCAAGCATAAAAACAATTTGGCATTTTTTATTTCGTATTTTTAATTCCTTTTTCTTTCTTCTTATTTTGTAATAATTAAACGTGCCCCGAGGTTGTATTAAGGGAATCACTTCATGTTTAAATATATTTATTCATTTATTTATTTTTTGTGTTTTTGTTTAAATCTTTGTACTATATGAAACAAAATTGTAATTATTTTAATTTTAAAAAAAAGATTTTTTTTAATAAATAAAAAAATGCACACTCATTGTTAGAGAAAAATGAAATTTATCAGTCATTAATGTCCTTAACTCCATTTACAATACTCTATTGTCAATATGTAAAAATTGATGTTCAGAAATGCTGTATTTTAACATTATTGGCATAGAAATTCAGCTACGGGAAGTAAACCTTTTAAATCAATTATGTATTTAAAAAGAAATCTAATAATTCATTGCTCATAAACATTTTTAGCTTATTACATACGTTATACAAAATATTTATTGCTTATTACATATTAATTGTTATGTAAAAAGTAACGAAAATTTTGTTTTTTAAATGAGGAAAAATGGAAGATGAATATCTAGTTAACTTTCGTTTGGTATGGTACATAAAGAAATAATAAGAGTTATCTATGACAGAATGTTAGTTGAACTGAATAACTCTAATATTATTAAATTAAATCTACACGATATATGTTCAAGAATTTAAAAGTAACTCCAAGAAGCTTTGGAACCACTATCGAAGAATCCGTAACCCAAGTTTAGGACTGAGCTGATAGATTGGACCTTCTTGAAACTGACTGCACTCTCAAAAAAAATTGTTCAAAGTTGCGCCATAATGTCGAAACTTTGAATGATAGTGAGATGCTGATTTGCTGTAACATAAATAAGGAGTTACAGTGAACCATGTACTCGATCAAGTTAAACCGTGCAGTCTAATCATATTTAAGAAATAATATAAAAGGGTTTAACTTAGCACTATATTAAGATTACAGAAAAATTAAACAATAATATGGTTCAACATGCTCCCAAACTTTTAAAAACATGGTCTATAAAAATTTCCCAATTGTTTCAGGAGACAAGTCAAAAACTATTTCTCTGATTCTGGAACTATGTGAAAATGTCTTCACAGAGTTACAGAAATTAATAAAAAAAATTAATTTTAATGTGTCGAAAAAAAATTTCATAAGCATATTTCACATTAAAATTGAAAATAAATTGACTGTTCATTTGCAACATTCTTTTTATTCAAATTTCATTAGATTTAAATAACAGAATCGTACATTTTAACTATTCTTGTACATGGACTGAATGTGTTTTTTCCTTCGAATATGAATTTAAATATTTTAAGCTCAACTGCATCATCTAACAATAACGTTTCTGGTTTTAGATTAAATAATAGAGTAGTTGCTTTAAAAGAAATTCGCCTACAGCCTGAAGAGGGCGCTCCTTTCACCGCCATCAGAGAAGGTAAGAGTTGAATCGCTCTCAATCATCATTTCAAAAGTTTTCCTCTAGTGGCATGCCTTCATGACAGGTCATTCAGCACAGCCGATGACCAGCTTGTCCCTTGACGATAAAGAATCATTTGCCTTTCCGCACTTTCTCCACAAAATATGAAAGGCCATTTCATATGCCATAACATGACAACTTTCTAAGCTGCTCATTTGAATTTATCAATTCGACTTGTCCTTATAGAAAAACACGTTAATAAAAATATTTAAATCAGAGTTAAATCACTTCTGATGATACTTTTCTGAAAATGCCTTTGTTTTTAATCCCTAAAAAAATTGACTAATAAAGATATTTAAATCTGAGTTAAATCGCTTCTGGTGATGATTTTATGCAAAAGTGTATTTTTTTCATCTCTATAGAAAAACTCATTAAAGATATTTAAATTAGGTTTTTCCTAAACTTGTGATGTTTTTAGGAGAAACTTCCTGGATGTTTTTCATCTCTAAAAAAACTCATTACTAAAAGAATTTAAATGAGAGTTTAGTTAGAGCGGTAGTGTATTTAAGTATTAAAGCCGTTGAAAAAAATATTTTTTCAATTAACAACTAAAATTTTGAAAAAAATTGATAATTTTCTCAGCTCAATTCACAAAAAATCATTTCCTTTTGCTTTGAAACTTTTATTTTATCCCGTAACTTACATTTCCTCAGATTTTTTTTTACAGACAAAATGTATATGATAAAAGTCAAGATAGTTGGAGTGTCTTAATATTTGCTTCTTGCACAAAAATTTCAAATATCGAAATTAGTAATTCTTTAATATTTAGATGATAATATTTGATAACATTTTATGAACTTTATATTTTTACTGTTTTTATATCATCATAAAAATCGTCAGTAATTTGCTTTATAATATGGGAAATATGTTAAAAAAATATAAAAATAAAAGAATTTATCTCAGATTCCCCAAAGCTGCGCACTTAAGTCCATAACATACATAAAAGTTATCTACCGAAAGACATGATTTTATTTCAAAATTCAATTGTATGCAAATTTACATTTTTCATTACATTAATATAAACCATTTTAAAAGACTATATTAAAATAGTTTGCGTAACAAGGGTTTATATTCTATTTTTATATTTTTAATTGATACAAACATTTATAGACTAAAAACTATAAAACACAATCTGCAAAATTTTTTTTTGTTTTTTTTTTTAAAGTTTAAATTCATATTTAAATTTTACAATTGTTTTTACGCAATGAATCCTAAAATAAAACTTACAATTATTGTAAAGATTTTATTGAAATAACATGTTTTATTTTATTTATTTATTTAAAAAAAATTTTTTGCCACGAAAATTTATTTTTGGCCCATTATGTGCCATGCAAATGTTATGTATTTGTAAACTTAATAAAGATTCAGCTGTTTCGGTCTGAATTTCTATGTTTTTTTTCACTTTCCATACTAACTAATTATACGAAAAAAATTAATTACTATTTACTTCATTGTATATTTCTAAACTTTTTCAACTTTATTTTTTTATTGTATGGCTTTTTGATGTAAATCTATTAATGAAATAGTTTCTGAGAAATTAAACTTAAATTTAAGATTTAAGGATGAAAAAAAGCGTAATAGGAAAGCAGATTTAAAAATGATATGTCTATTTTGACTTATTGTTGAATAAAAGCGTAAAACTGTAGTAAAATTTCATTTTTTGTGTTAAATCATCAATGAATAAACCATTCAGTCATTTTGATATATTTATATAGACGGGTAGATATATCTTATGTTCAATCTATTTTTCAGCTTCCTTACTTCGTGGCTTGAAACATGCCAATATTGTAACTCTTCACGACATCATCCATACACGGGAAACTCTCACATTTGTATTCGAATATGTCGTAAGTACAAAGAATTTCAATTATAATTTCTATAACGATTGAATAGAAAAATCTGTAAATTATTTTTAATACTTTGTTGTTGTTATGCTGCTCTGATATTTTCAAAATCATCATTATGCCTGCTGTTGTTGTATTTGTTCATCAAATAGTATTTGAGCTAATTATAAACCTAATTATTGAAAGTAAAATAATAATTATTTCAACGATAAAATTTGGCAATGATTAATACTAGTTTTGGAAGGTGAAAAGTAAATGAAACTTTCGAAATATATAATTGGATTAATTCAAAAACAGATAATAATAGAACTATGAAAAAATAGATAGATTCAACCAGTTAAATTGTAAAAACAGCAATCCACAAAATAACGCTTGGAAAAAAAAAACTTAACTACGGAATAGTCGCTGCTATCAGGTTAATTTAATTATGTAAACCAAATTATTAAATGCCTGCTGTTCAGAAACTAAAATCGAAATAATAAATAAAAGATAGCTGCTTTTTGAGGTATGCAATATTACACAATTATCACAAAAAAATGAAATAAAAGTTATCGTTTAAATATGAATCATAGAAAGCACAAAACATGCCTTATTTTTACTAGGAATTAAAAACATTTACAATAAGCATTAAAACAGATTGCCAAAACATATATAAATTACAATATTTCATCTTTTTTTTCTCAGTGTGTTTTATTATTAAAATTAAAATTCCAAATTTTGTTAGCCGTAAAAAACTGTTACCTTATAATAACAACGAGGATATGAAAGCTAAAATCAAATGTTAGTTTTTCTTCAGCTCTATCTTTATACCATAGATGGCTATTTCTAACTTTCTAATTTTAACATTCTAATACTAAGTAGCACATTTACTCACTACCATATTTAAAAAATTACATTATTAACTTTTGTGAGATACATACTACCGTAGAATAATATAAATAATTCTAAAACCATTTAGCAATATAAATATAGCATTCAAATATAAATATTCTTGTGAGTATCCCTTATACAAACATTTGTGCCAACTGCATTTTTTAATCAAATTGAATTGATTTAAGAAAAAGAAAATATTTTAATATCTGAGTGGGGATTTTTAATCAGTGATAATTTAAACACTCTACAGCAGCTTATTTCAATTTTGTAATTAAAAAAAGAAAAAAGAATAGAAAGAAAGATCAGTTAGAATGCTTTATAATGTGGTGAGCTCAGTCATATATTCTTCATTTTCCCCGTTTTAGCTTTAAAAAAAGTAATTAGCGCATTTTGTACATAGGTAACACATTTTGCACAATTAACTTCAGCCAGATATCCCAAAAATAACCGACAATAAACATGAAGTAATTTTTTTTTAAAAAATCGCTTAAAGAAAACCAAAGAGAGATAGGAACGCCCTGTACGCTGCACTTCAATCAACACCGCCATCTGTAGGTGAAATTTGAATTTAAATTCTAGATTTACTTGGACTACTGGTATAGTTTCTTCAGCAAACTGTACATTTTTATCTCCTTCCATTTTTCTTTAACAGATATGAAAAATCTGCCAACCTGTAAATGTAATTACAGTTCTATTATGTTTTGTAATAATAATTTTGTTTATTTTTTTGAAAAACTTAAGTTTTACTCTCATTGTATTTTTGAATATTCTATCATTATCCTTGTAAATAAGTTATTAAGATACAAATTATACTTATATAACTCTATTTCATAAATATTTTTTCAGCATACAGACTTAAGCCAGTACTTAGAAAGACACCCCGGTGGACTTCATCCTAAAAACATTAAAGTTAGTTGTTTCTTTTCACTAAAAATATCAACTTTTTACAAAAATCATTGATTACTTCTTAATTCTGTTATAAATGAAGTATAATAAACGAACAAATACATTTTTTACTTTTTTTCAGTTATTTATGTTTCAACTTCTTAGAGGATTAGCCTTTTGTCACCAAAGACGAGTATTACATAGGTACGTATGTAATTTAAAGCATATTTTATGTTTTATCTCAACTTGCAATCGAATCGAATTAATTTAAATTAACTCAGTTTCTCATATCACCACCCTTTATGTACACTCTTAAGAAAATCAATTCAATGTTGAATTTAAAGATAATAATACGTTGCAAGTTTACTGCAAGCTTACGAATGTGTTGAATTAAACTCTTTCTCTTCAAATTGACCAAGCGTGACCAAATTTAAGAAGAATGATTTTTTAATCCAACCTATCAATCATCATACTAATGCTATAGCAAATTTGTAAAAATTCATTCGCTTTAATGTGAAAGATCATAATTATCGAAAAGTAATGGTTTGTCAAATTTCGGCATATTATTACGGAATTAAAAATGATAAACAAAATCAATAGTTTATTCTATTAATTTATATTATTTTTTTAAGTTACACTTCAAGAAATACTCGCTGTTTTCTCTGAATTTATCCGCACATTTACCAGTTTAAAGTCATTTTGTTGACAGGACGGTTTTTCTCCATTTTCACCCTAATCACAAATCAGTCAGTTAAAAATTTAGCTTTTGCCATGCAAATTTGTGTTTCGTGACATAAATTTACCTATTCTCCGATCATTTTACTATTACTTTCTATACTTCATGACTTCAGCAATTTAGCAATTACTTTATAGTTACGTTTTAGCAATTACTTTACAGTTTTGAACTGCGATTCGACTTTATTATCAAATGTATGCAATTTTGAAGCAAAATTCTTACTGTCACAATTTCTTCATAATAAAATACTTGAACTCAGGCGACACAGAGTACGCATCTCTCAAATGAAGTGTCCCAGGTTCGACACCTAGTCGATAAAAATTCTGACGACACAAAATTTTCGCATCTGGTGCGAGTACTGATTTGCTTCAAATGTTCACGGAAAAAACTTTTTTCCATATGGTTAAAATCAGTTGAGGCAATAGATTAATTCTTGTTGTAATTACTTGTTTTGCTACGGTAAAATGCCAATCTGATAAAGGATTTTCTTCATAATTTTTGCGAAAAAAACTTATTCTTGTATGGTAAAAATTTTTTGAGGCTACTGATTTATTATGTAAATTATACGGTTTTGTGCAACCAACCCAACTGCTGGTTTTGAACCGTGAATGTTACAGGCTTTTCCATAGTGTACGGAAGGCAAAATAAATTTTGAATGCACGTACATTTTAAAAGCTGGTTTTTATTTTGTTATGACTTAAACTTTACACCTTTTACCGTTGATTTAGTCACGATTTTCCTATTAAATATCAACGATGATAATAAATATTCTAAAAATATATATATATAGATAGATAATATGTATATAATAATAAATATTCCAAAAATATGCATTAAAGCAACCTGAATAATTATTATGTAACATAAAAATAATGTAAATGCATTACGAGAATATTTCATTAAATTATTTTAATTTTAGAATTTCCATTTCAGGGACCTTAAACCTCAAAATCTGTTGATCAGTGAAATTGGGGAGCTTAAATTAGCAGATTTTGGTAATAAATCTAAAATTAATATCTATTTTTACTTTTTAGTCTTCATCAAAAAATACATAATTCCATTATAATTTATTTTATTTTAAATTTGATTCCTTGTACTTTATTATACAGGCCTAGCTCGGGCGAAATCAGTGCCTAGTCGAACGTTTTCACACGAAGTTGTCACCCTTTGGTACAGGCCACCAGATGTATTGTTAGGCTCTACAAATTACTCCACATCACTAGACATGTGGTAAGTCTATAGACTTCTTTAAATGTTAACAGTTTAAGTTTACTTCTTGTATTATAATAATTAATTATAATGGTTGTTGATAATGATTAATTATAATCAAATTAATTTCGTATATGATTACAACAATTGGGATAAAAATAATAAATGATTTTGGCCATCATATGTGCATTATTAGACAGAATGCGTAAAAAAGCCCTGCAGCCTATATGGCTAGGTTAGTCCGTTAAAAGTTAGCATTCACTTTTTTCTCTATTATTCACAGATTAATAAAAACTTAATTAGTAATTTTATCATTATAAACTAAAATTTTATCATTATAAAATAAAATAACAGTCGACATGTTTTAAGCTCTCAAAAAATGAAGCAATTTTCAGAACTTGCTAGATATGAATGAAAAGAAATGACGAAAAATAAATTATAAAGGTGAGCAATAAAGCTAGAAGAATCTCAGTAGCCGAAAAAAGAATAAAAATAAACATGAAAAAACAGAACAAGAAAAACCACTGTAATTGAGAGAGTCAAATCAAAGCAAAATGCCATTCCGCGGGTTCAGCTTTATTTTGCGTTTTTCATTGGCAAGATTACATTCCAAATCACTTTCGCTAACGTGCGGCAAGTCTTGTAAATGGGTGCCTGTTTTGAATGCTTGAAATAGGTCGACTAATCTGCATATTTTAAAAGCGAATCAATTCTTTTAATCAAGTGAAGATTCTCTTACCACTTCAATTTCTTGGGGTTATTCTTTTAAAACTGATGTTTATCAGTTATGGAACATTTTATCTCTCTCTCGTATGCCTTTTTAGGCAGAGGGGTGCGATTATTCTTGTTTTGCAGTGGAGCCATCTATGGCCAAGAATTCGACTTCTCCCACATCCATACATCATACTCGTTTGTAGGGCAGACCCATTCATTCACAGATAGTAATTTTGACCTGAATCAGAAAACGATCTATCTCCAATCCAATACCCCCAGAGGTATTGATTTGTTATGGGAACATGGAGGACTTTGCGATTCGACAGATTTAACTTGCTTCAGTCACCATTTACTACACGGGGAGTCTTTGGCCGGCTGGGTTCGAACCCACGAACTCTCGGATATGGGTCCAGCGCATTACTGACCAGGCTATTCCGGCCCGAAACATTTTATATTTGGCTGTAATAGAAGACATCAATTTACTCTCTAAAATATTTAAATAAGATAGATCAATAATACGTTTTTTTAACACTTTTATTTTGTTTTTGCATTTATTATATTAAAATTTATCATGTTTAGAATGCATAAAACTATACTAATTTTATAAATTCTAAATATGATTTTTCTCAAATTCATTACACGCGTTCTTTCTATGAGCTCTTAAACAATATAAGACATTTAATTTTTCTACACGTAACTGCAACTGTAACATAATTTAACTAAATTTAACCTTCTCTTCTTTGAAGGGGAGTTGGTTGCATCTTTGTGGAAATGATTATAGGAAAAGCAGCATTTCAAGGTATGAAGGATACGATGGATCAACTCGACAAAATATGGAGGGTAAGAATCATCACACTCCTAAAAATTATTTTGACTGAAAACTTAACAATCAATAACAAAACAATGGGAACCATAATAAACTATCATCAACTTCTTTTGCTAGGAAAATTGCTCTATTGTCAAAAACTTCTTGATAGACCTAAGTTTTTTATAAATCGATTACTTTTAAAATATTAGTCATAACTTATATTTTAAATTTTCCTATAAAATCACTTTAACCATATTCAGGAAATTTTTTTTCTAAATATCTAATAAATAGTACCTTTATATATAAAATAAATACTTAAACGATCAATTGCAGAAATAAATAAAAAAAATGTGCAGCATTAACATTATATATTTTAACCAATCAGTTCGTATGAAATATGAATTATGACATTTTAAGGCGTGCAGCAAAGAGCACCAGTTGCAGGGACCTATGCTTCATAGCTACATAATATTAATGCAAAGAGTAATTATATTTAGATAAATATTGTTAAATATAACTAATATTTATGTATTAAAAGGCAGCGAGATATTGATAAATTTCATGTACCAGATGAAAGAAGCTCACTCTACTCTGTAAGAAATTTGATTGTCTGTATGTATGAATAGTTTCAGAAAATACAATGCAAATTGTGGTTTTTGCAGAAATTCGTTAAACTTTTTAGAATCACATTATTAAGCATTACAAAACTCTGTATTGGTCTGCTTTTGGTATCTAAAAATTCGATTAGGCAGGATGTTCTGTATAGATAATTGATATATGCTTAATATGTACTTTCAGAATCTTTTTCATAAATAAAGTCATAAAAGTATATGTATTAGAGATCGAAAATTGATAGCTTAACAAGAAAAAAACAAAAACGATATCGAAACTTATCGCATCACTAGTGAGGACAGAATTAAAAATATTGAAACCAATTTTATAACCTGACAAAACTCAGAGGTTTTTCTAATAATCTCTTTTTAATTTCTCATTCGAAATAATAAGTCTGTCTTCATTAGTGATTTGTAAATTTCGATAGTGCTTTACTTATTATATGCGTTTTTTTATATCTGATGAATAGAAATTTAGCATCCATAATATGTGCATTTTTTTTTTTCACTTTTCCTTGGATTTTAAAATATGTAGTATGAGTGGTTTCCATATAACCTATGCATTTATTTTATTTTATAACCGGCGTTGAACCCGATTTCTGAGTTAAATGTTTAACTCCGTAACCTTTGAGCCAAGACAAGACCTGAAACTAGCATTAGGACAAACTAGCCTTCGTGGAAGATGTTTTAATGGAATTAACCCGCATTTGCATTACATGGAGAAGAAAATCCCAAAAACCACTCATGGTTAGCCCAACTGCAAGAGGATTCTAACACATGATCCGTCTACCACTGAGAATATTTTGCGTCAGTACTATAGTCAGAGCGAGAATTCGTATCAACCAGTCACATATGGGTTTGAAACAGGCTCACCACCTTGGGAGAAGAGCGCTCCATCCCCTGAGCCACCGTGGCTCAACTATGTATTAATAATTTTAAAATTACACTAATTCTATACTATTAGTTTGCAGCATGGTAAAGCACGTCCTTCTGGATAAATTTTTAATTACACGCTGGTTATGCAATATTTTATACATTCATTTCATTATTACGTCTTTCAGGTTTTGGGAACACCTACTGAAGACACGTGGGATGGCGTGTCATCACTACCCAACTATAAACCTCGTAAGCAATTATTTTAATATTGAGTTCTATTTACAATTGAATCAGCATGTCTAACTTTGTAAATTGTATATTGCAGATAAATTTGGTCGTTACCAATCCCAGCCTTTATCAGGAGCCTTCCCTAGAATTACAGAGATATTACATGGTGAAAAATTGGCCTACAGTTTTCTTCAGGTAATGGAAAAATCCAAATCAAATTACGGTATAAAGTACGGGCACTTAGTAAATTGCACTTAGTACGGTAGCATCCTCCATAAATTCCATTTAATCTTAAAATTCATTTCTACCGTATAATATTATACCTTTACCGTAATTATACCGTAATAATATTTATTTGATTAGAGTGATTCAATGATTTTACTGTGATTATGACTGTAAAAATTGTGGTATATCAGCTTTTTTGTTCCATAAATTTCCAGATAAAAAGGAATTTTACGCATCCTGAGTGCCGGTATTTTTTACAATTATTTGATCCGGAATTTTTTACAGTGCACTATTGCGCTACGGTATTTTGAAAACTAACCGTTTTGGTACTATTATCACTTTATAAAAAACATTTTATGAAATGCATGTTCATTTGGCTATGGGAAAGCCAAAACAATGAGTAATTTTTATCAAAAACCTTTGGTAAAATTAACAATAAAATATGAACATAAACATAAAATTATAAATAACATAAAGTTAGGTGAATGTGGTGAAATTTGGTAATTTTGGCATGAAATAAAGACCGTTTATTTAGTCAAATTTATTTTTCAGTAAGCGTATTTTTTACTAAATGTCCGGTAAACCGTTATACCCATGAAATTACCAAACGAATTTTTGAAATACCGTATATTTTGGTTTTTATAACCAGAATTATGGTGTTTGTTTCATAGAAATATCATAATCATAAAGTATAATTTTAACAAAAAAATTTTCTCCGTGTAGGTATTTTATAAGGAACTGAAAACATTCATATATTACCTAAAAATTCTATTAAATACCTATGGAATGTCGAAGATTGCCGGTAACACATATACATGTTTCTTTACAATTTTTTAGTTTCGTCTCATGTGAAATAAATTTTATTACAGTTACAACCTCGAATGAGGATATCAGCCAGTGAAGCATTGCGTCACATTTACTTCAAAGAACTCCCGCCCAAACTCTTCGACCTGCCAGAACGTAAGCATATTTATAAACTAATTTTTTAATAAATCATGACATAATTCTGCTACCTAATTATATATTATATATCTATATATAATATTAATTATATATATTTAATATATATATAATTATAT